AAAAGACGGAGATTAGTTCTGTAAAAAACATACAAACATTTTACAAAAGAATCTACATAGGAAACAGACAAGCTCAAATGTAGCATCTTCAGAAATAATGAAGTTGACGTGAAATAAAAAAAATCATTTAAAAATGAACCTTACCACTAGTTACATCTTTGACAGAATCCTCAAAGTGGTGATCTTGTTCTGCAGAATGTTCTCTTTGTGGTGGCATATGGTCAACCTGATATTGATGTATGAATGAAAAATATCAGACTTGGAATTGTAACCGCCAGAATGATGCAACAAATGTAGTATAATGGCAAAAGGCGGATAGTCTTGCCTGCCGATCGATTTCAGATGATCCAGAATCCGCAGCAATTGTTTCAACAGAATAATTGTGTGTATCGTCAGCTTTTCGTTGTGCTTGAGGAGAAGATAGTGTTTCTGCAAGCACTTCTCCATCCTGCATCTTTTGACAGCTAATGGAAGATTCAGTCTGAAGACCTTGTTGATCCTTCATAACATCGTTTACAACTGAAACATCATTCAGTACACGGGTTACTTTAATCATCCCAAGTGCTTTGCTAGTGAAACATTATAGAAACCTTAATGTTCTTATACACAATACAACATCAATACAGCAATAACTTAGCATGCATCACTATCAAACTTATGTCTTGTAATTAGAAACTAGAACCTGACATGATGCTCAAAGATAGAAACGAAGTTCAAATATAGTACAGAAATCTTGTTATTTTTGAAATATTTTCATTAGTGACGACTGGATCTTTTGCAAGAGAACCATATCTTTTTGTAAGGTCCTCTATACGGTATACAACTTGTATGCAGGGTTATCCCAAACTTTTCAATAAAACCATTACCTTTATTTTAAAAAAAATAAAATAGAAAAGAATAGTGAAGTTCAAAAGTCATGATTCTTGACAACCACAAATTCCAAATTCTCCATAGCTAATATGTTTATAAGATGCATCACATGCATCTTCCCATTGGAAAAAGGGAGATGAAACGAAAAAGAAAAGAAAAAGTTATAAGAGATCATCTCAAAGCAACCTAAGGTATTGCATCACAATGCAGCACAAGTTTTGGCAAACATGGGAAGTTATTTGTTTTCCTAGTACTAAATTTCCAATACTTCACACCTCAATCTTTATCCTCTAGATCACCAATCAAATGTTCAGTCTCCAAAACCATGCATCACCTGAGTAAGAGTTGGACATTCAAGTGGGTCAAAAAACAGAAAGTTGACTACCGATGATTCCATGAAAAACTCAAGCTATGTTAAAACGCAAAAAAAGACGGAGATTACTCTGAAAAACACACAAACATTTGGCTATACAAAAGAAATCTACATAGGAAACAGACAAGCTCAAAATGTAAGCATCTTCAGAAATAAATGAAAGTTGAACGTGAAATAAAAAAAATTCATTAAAAATAGAACCTTACCACTAGTTACATCTTTGACAGAATCCTCAAAGTGGTGATCTTGTTCTGCAGAATGTTCTCTTTGTGGTGGCATATGGTCAACCTGATATTGATGTATGAATGAAAAATATCAGACTTGGAATTGTAACCGCCAGAATGATGTATCAAATGTAGTATAATGGCAAAAGGCGGATAGTCTTGCCTGCCGATCGATTTCAGATGATCCAGAATCCGCAGCAATTGTTTCAACAGAATAATTGTGTGTATCGTCAGCTTTTCGTTGTGCTTGAGGAGAAGATAGTGTTTCTGCAAGCACTTCTCCATCCTGCATCTTTTGACAGCT